AATAGGATTTCTTATGTAAATTTCGACATGAGATTTGCTTTCCTATCCTTTAAAAGAATATTTATATGGAGTTGCAAGATTTATTTATAAATTTTGGTCAATCTTTTTTGACAACTACCTAAAGTGATAATTGCTAATACCCTGTGCCAGATATTGTTCTAAGTGTTTTAATCTTCATGAAAACACTATTCTTATCTGTTTTATTTTTTTGAATTTTTTAATTTTTTGTAGAGACAGGGTCTCACTCTGTTGTCCGGGCTGGAGTGCAATGGCACAATTATTATCTCACTGCAACCTTGAACACCTGGGCTCAGGTGATCTCCCACCTCAGCCTTCCATGTAGCTGGGACTATAGGCATGTGCCACCGTGCCAGGCTATTCTTAAAATTTTTTGTAGAGACGGGATCTCCCTATGTTGCCAATTCATACTGGTCTCAAACTCCTGGCCTCAAGTGATCCTTCCACCTCAGCCTCCCAAAATACCGGGATTACAGGCATGAGCCACCATATCCAGCCTTATCTCTGTTTGAGAATCAAGAGGGAGAGACTTAGAGAGGTTCAGTAACTTGCAGAAAGTCAAATAGGTAAAACTCACACTCCAACCTAAGCCCCCTACTCTATATTATACTCTAAAGAAACAAAAGTGGAAATGAATCAACAGTCCTAAGAGTGAACCTGTTTGTAGACTATCACGCGCTCCCCTTGGCTCTGAGAGGTAGAGCTGTTGATAGTCACGTGCTTGGCCTCCTCGGGGTTGAAGTCACGGCTGAGCTGGAGGTGAACAGGCTGTGGATTCCAGCTGATGGGGATCAAATTCTAGCTCTACCGCTTGTGATCTGTGTGATCAGAAACAGGTTTCCTAGTCCCTCTGAGCTTCACTTTCCATGTCTGTAAAACAGGGATACTCACAGGGCTCGGGCTCTGTGGCTTAGTCGAGTGAATAAACACATAGGATCTGGAGCCAGACTGTTTCGGTTTGAATCCTAACTCCACCAATCATTAACTATGTGACTTAAGATAAATTACTAAATCCTCTGAATCTCACTCTCCTCAACTGTAAAATGGGAATAATAGAACCTCCCTCATAGGGTAGTTATGAAGATTAAATGAGTTAATACATGTTGTGTGTTTAGCATGGTTCCTAGCATAGTAACACTCAATCATGTTCGAAGCTGTTGTGAATACTGTTGGAAATAATGCACTTAAACTCTTAGGACAGTGCAGAGCAGATGGCACGTGCCTGCTCTCCCTGCCTTCCCTCCCACGTCAGTCATCTTAGTCTTATCATAGCAGCCACCCCGGGGCACAGCTACAGAACATGGAAATAGTCTCCAAGGGCAGGAATATTCCTTCTGTGTGGATGATCCAAGGAGTCATAGTCCAAGTAGACCCTGGACTATTGTACATTTTATCGTTAGGATTTAACAGGTTAACCAACACCGTGTTGAGCAGATCCAGCCACAAGCAAATCATTGACTACACGACACTCCATGTGTGAGAGGAACATGGCAGCCACTGCAGCTGCCTTAGAGTGGCTGAAATCTCTGCCATGCTGGATACAAGTTTTAAATTTAGTAGAGGCTATAGCATGGTCAGGTTTTGTAAGTGTTGTAGAGATTACCAGATTGATCTGTCTTTCCTCCTGGGAGGAGAAGATTTTCCACGTGGATTTATTTTAGTATTTTCAGCATGTTTGTTGTATACCAGCTAGTGCCCAGTATAACTCTTTACTTCTGGGAAACCTGATTTCACCCTCTGCCCCTGCCCTACCATCTTACTCTTGACTGATTTTCAAACCCTCTGTTCCTTCCCCTCCACCCTAATCTAATTCTCTCTGCCAATTCTCCCAGTTTAATTCTCCCTTCTGACAGGAATACATTTACCCAGCCTTCTCCACCTCAAATGCATATCCACATTTGAATGCATTTCTATTCTTCAACTTGAAAATGCTTATCTAGCCTGAGCTTCTGCTCAGAACCCCCTTGGTAAACCCTCCTTCTCCTGTGGCCTTATTCTCCACCCAAACCCATCACCATTTGGACTCCTCCCAAATGTTCAGCAGGATTTAGGTGTGCAGAAGAAATAACATTTTTAAGTTTTACTTTTAGACCAGTGGTTATCAAACCTTTAGCCTGCATTGGAAACACCTGGAAGGATTTTAAAACCACTGATTGAGGAGGTGTGACGGGGATTCTGAGAGTACATTGCTAACAAGCTCTTAGGTGGTGCTCATGTTGCTAATCCAGAGAACCCACTTTGAGAACCACTGCTTTACACTCTTAAGTGTCGGGTTCTCTGGGATGCAGGAGGAGGGGAGGGAGGAGGGTGGAGAAAGAAAGGATGCCCTGAGCAGCAGTGCTCAAGACTGGAGCTGGAGTTGTGTTGGGGGTGACTCCTCCTGCCCCTTGCATTTTCTCATAGCTTCTGTCACAGTCTCGTTTCTGAAAGGGCCCCTGCACATTTTTCTGTGCTGAAATAAAGTAATAGAGATAAATCTGAGATTGTTGTCTGATATTGTGGGCTCTAATTAAACAATAGATGTTGCTCAATCAACAATTATCTATTGAGTGCCTGCTGTATACCTGCTGCTATACCAAATGCAGAGGATACACTGGTGAACAGGCAGACAAGTCATTGCTCTAGTGGACCTTATCTAACAGGGACCTCATATGATCGAGGCAGCCAATAAACACGTAAAACGTAAGGTAATAAATACTTCAGGTAGTGGAAAGTACGATGTGATTGACTTCTTCGCTGAATTGAGTAGTTTTTGAATACTGGAATATTATTTACTCAATTTTTTGTGCTGTTCACTTTGTACTAACTATAGACATAACACACTTTTCAGTTTAAACTGCATTATTAATATAAAATATTTTGCTCATCACTTTAAGTCTACATACTTTTTTAAAGACAAACAATAAATAAAGCCCTGATTTGTAGCTTTGCCAATTTCTGTGGTATAAATAGTCCTTCTGTGGCTAGTTACAAGCTACCTCATGAGGTCATTGAATGTGGAGTAGGGAAGAGGTGCAAGATAACACACCATGATATGGTATCATGTTCAAAAAGAAAATTTCCTTCAACAAATATTTATTAAGTAGACACTATGTGCCAGACACTTTCTATAAGGGAGGGCCAGAGCAGTGAACAAAGCAAAATTCTTGCTGATGGTGGTAAGTATTATGAAGAAAAAGAAACTAGAATAAGAGGTTAGATTTAGAGTCAGCCTTCAAATCACTGTTTCACAAAGTGTTAAAACAAGGTTTTAAAAAAAATACAGCATAATTATATTGCTCTCACTAATGGGTATAATAATTTTTAGAGAAAAATGTTTTATCATTAATAAATTAAAATTCTTAAAATAGTTTTTATCTTTTTCCCTTATCTTTTTAATTTCAGTTTTGTGTTTTATAATCACATTAATATAATGTATATATGTGTTTTATACATAGGAAGGGTGCTTCAGATTTTCTGTAGCATACAAAATAAATAATATTTGAAGATCATTGCTTTAGAGACTAGAGAAATAACAGATGAGTCTCAAGCATGCCCCTGGGACACCCCTGAACTCTCAGTAGACCCCGTGAGCTGACAGTACGGAAGAATGTTTTCATGTTGTATTAGGCCCCTGGGAGCTAAGTGACAATTGCCATGCTGCAGTTGATTATGAAGTACTAAATCAGACGCCCTGGACTTTATATTAATACTGCAGGAGGGCCACATAGACCAGCTGAAGGAACCTCCAGAAATACTTCAAAGGCTCCATTCCCCAATATGGCGGCTCCTACAGGGTGATCAGTGGAGACATGAAAGATTTAAGAGGGCAGCTTGGTTACAGACTTCTCCACCATAATGAAAGTTCAGTCTTGAATTGATAAGTGCCCACTGTCGAAGCCTGGATTGAGCCTGAGAAGCCTGTGGCTCAAGCACCTTACCCAGAGGGCTCTGGACACTTACCAGACTCAGATGTCCATGACAGAATCCCAACAGCAGCCTCAGGCCATCCAGCCGGGAGCATTGGAGAGTGCAAGTCTGTCAGCAGACCCTGAACCATAGAGCACAGGCATCACCTCTTTCCAGGAAGCCTTCTGTATACCGCCACCACTCTGGTTGGCTTGAGTCCCAGGTACCCACCTTTGGTAATCCCTCAGTAACTCTGACCTTCTCATATTTTCTGCCCTTTCCAAACTATTAATATATTGAAATTATTTATTTTTTTGTAATACTGGCCTCCTTCACTAGAATGAGAGCCTCATTTCTGTCTGTGGTCTCTGGCACATCGTAGACACTCAGTTAAACATTGACTGAAGGCATAAAGGACCATCCTCTTGTCCTTTGTTCCTGGTTGACAGACCACATAACCACTCTCAGATCCACAACAATAATTAAGAATTTAATGAATGAATATACATTGTAATGTTTTTATTTCACCCAAGGAAGAAATTTTAAAAATTTTATCCCAAGATGTTTTAGCAAATGCTGTGGACTGAATTGTGTCCCCCAAATTCGTGTGTTGAAGCCTAATTCCCTGATGGTATTTGGAGATGGGGCTTTTGGGAGGTAATCAGGTTTGGATGAGGTCATGAGTGTGGGGCCTTCATGAAGGGATTAGTGCCCTTATAAGAAGAGATACCAGACAGCTTGCTGTTTCTCGGTGTGCACACACCCTGATGTCAGATTTCTAGTCTCCAGAACAGTAAGAAAAGAAGTTCTGTTGTTTAAGCCACCCAGTTTGTGCTGTTTTGCTATGACAGCCCAAGCTAAGACAGTAAACAAGCTGGATCATTTTTCATACCATAATTCTGACGAGAAGTAACTCTGAAAAGGCTCTGTTGTGAGAACCAAAGGAATTGGGGCCTTGCTGAAAATAAATGTATGTTTATTAAAGTGGCATTTTAAAATTTGGCTTGAAACATGGACCTGTAAGTCATAAACCAAGCAGGATTCTACTTTCTCTAGGGTCCTTTTTCTCTCTGTTGCCTTAGATTTTTCATCTCACTTTTCATGAAATTCTAGGACAACACATGACTGAATATATATATCCTTGGAGAATTTTCCTTAGATATGGGAGTCTAGGTCAGTCACTGATACTAATCTTGGAGCATAATAACCTCTGTATCTGGTCTTTTAACCCTTTGCAAAGACACAAAAAGGAAAGTGGGATGTCCTGTGTGGAGCTGCCCCGGTCCGCTATAGTAAGTATTGAATTCTAAACAGAAACACATGTATATGGTCAGAGGTTAAAAAAAAAAGCGAAAAAACAAGCAGCATTCTTGAAGAATATACTAATCAAATTTTTGTCCTTCCATGTGGTTTCTAGAAGGATTTCTTATTATAAGTTTTAGAGATTTATAGAGGAGGTAGGAATGATTTCTGTCCTTCGAAATAAATGATAATCTTACTGGGAAAATATAGATATATTTCAAGAATAGCTGGCAAATGGTAAATTAGAGATAATTCACGGTTGAATTCTGTGGTGAACTAAAGGAACTAGTATAGTTTTTAGTCCCTCTGATGTTCCAGGTTCTCCCGTTAGGCTCTGCCTCACGACAGCCACGCAGTAGGACAGGCTTCAGGACAGAGTAGAGAGAGCTTGGGCTCTAAATTCAATAGAGTTTTAGTGTCAGGTATTTTGTTAGTCTGGTGTTTTGTTATGGCAGCCCTAGCAGACTAGAACAGTGGGTATAAATAATAGCAGCATCTCATGAATGTAGTTAGGATCACATGTGGCTCATACGGTGCTTGGCTCAGTAAACACTCAATAAATAGTTGCTCTTTGTGACTCAGAAGAGAAGAAAAAATGAAAGAGAGAAAGGAGTGAATTATTAAGAATCTGCTGTATGCCAAGAACTTTGCATAATTACCTCATTTAATCCACCTAACAATCCTGTGCAAAGCATATCCCTGTCTTACAAGTGAGGAAACTAAAGCTTTAAAAGATTATTTGATTTTTTGAGGCCACCTACCAGAGTGGCTTCCCATGCTGAGGGTTATAAAGGAGAGAGATCCATTCTGGATGATTTTCACAGCTAACACACAGCAAGGGAGTTGGCTTCTGTTGCAGGAATGTGTTCCTGCCCACACAAGGATGCTCACTCCCATGCCAGGCTGGGCCACACAGATGCCTGCACTCAGAGTCAAATCTGTTTTCAAAAAGGAGATTTGAATCTGCTCAAGCACTTGGACCAATTATTCACTTAACACACCAGAGCTCTGTACCAAAGGCATGAGACTGATTTGGCCTAAGGAGCAGTAAGGGCCCTTCCTCAGAGTGCCTGGTGTGAGGAGACCTGCCAGGGCAAGGTGACTGCAGAACGTAAATGCCGATTGGCCACGTGGGTGACTTCCCTCATGAGATTGTGTTGTATTCTCCTTTAACCAAGGAGAGTGTCTGTCAAGGGGAAATGGTTATATTCTGCATATAGTGGTTCTTTCCGATAGTAATTAGCCAATGGGATTCACTGTGTTTTAAGATCACATCCTAATAATGACGAAAGCCTGTGGTTAGTAAGGGTGTATTTCTTCCCTGTTACCATGATGCCAGGTACATTTTTTTTTTGGTCCTGTTTGCAGTATCATACATGATCATCGAACTGCTGCTAGAATGCTCACACCTGTTATTGCAAATTCAAATCCCAGGAAAGACTTCTGGGAACTTACTTCATGGTAGAGTTGGGCTACCTGGTACAAGGCTGCACCCACAACTGGGCAGGTTCAACAACACAGGAGCCTTTCCCAAGACCGTTAGTTACATTTAAATTTAAAGGAAGAAAGACTAGGAAGAAGCCCTTTTTCTGCTAATTGGAAATTGAATTTAAGATTTATGGAAAGACCATTTTTCAAGATTTCTCAAGATGAATTACTGAAGTGGGACTTCATTATGTTATTCTGATTTTATATGTGAGATTTTTCATGATAAAAGATTTTTTAGAAATAAGTAACATTGACATTAAAATATTATTACTATCCTGAATCAAACATTAGTGTCAAACTTTGAAAGAGCATCTAAGGTAGGGACAGAATTACTCAGGTATCTCAATGTGAAATTAGAGGTTGATGAAGATGGATGACTGCTACTAAATGTTTTAGGTGTTTCTTAAATTTTTCCTAGTAAGATAATTATACACTAGAAAGACATGCAACAGGGTACCCAGAATTCATCAGTTTCTTGTGCAGGTATAGCAGGTGCTGTCTGCCAATGCCCTCAGTACCTACCACTCCAGGCAGGGCATGGCTGGCTTCCAGTATCCAGAACCGTGACTCTTTGACCTCTTTCTCTGGTCTTTGGAGCCAGTTCTGGCTATGACTCCAGCACTTGCAGGTCTTAGGTGCTTTTTTAGCTTCCTTCTCTTCCCTGTCTCAGTTCCCCACTTTCCTATCAGAGTTCCCCTCAGATAAACTTCTTGTATTTGAATCCTTGTCTTGGATCTGCTTCAGCAAGAATTCAAACTAAGACAGTTCATCGGGTGCAGTGGCTCGGGCCTGTAGTTCCAGCTACTGGAGAGGCTGAGGCAGGAGGATTGCTTGAGCCTAGGAGTTTGAGACCAACCTGGGCAACATAGCAAGACCCCATCTCTATTTTTAAAAAGAAAAAAAAGAAACATAATTTGGAAATATAGATAGTAACCCTGTTGTAAGAATCAAAGCAACAGACTAAGTTCTGTGTGATGAGATTCCATACATAAATACAAAATACATTATTTTTGTCTATATTTTCAGTTAAGTGGAATAGTTTTAGTATCATTTGTAAATTTGCAGAAATGCAAAACTTGGTGTATAAGCCTTTTTATCGTTGACTGCCATCTAGTTAACATAAATGAGAAGCTTGTATTCATACTTATCCCAGTTTTAATTCCCATGAACTATCTCGGATGTTGGGGTGATGTAAAGGGAGGAGTCTAGAATGACTTCCAGGTTTCTCTTTTAACTGCCTGGGTTGATAGTGGTGCCATTAAACAGGATACAGAATAAGTGATAAAGACTAGGTTTGAGGTTGGAAGAGATAAGAAGTTTTGTAATTTAAGGCATCTGTGGATTGTGGAGAGGGTAGGTGTCATATCCGAGGTCCTGTGCATGGCTTACAAGACCTGAATTGTCTGTCCCCTGCTCTATTCTCTGCAGCAGCCCGTGTTTCATGGCTCCCTGCCCTCTCTACTCTCAGTTTGGACTGGCTGTTCCCTCTGGTTGGACCACCCTTTTGTAACCCTCCCCAACCCAGGTGACTCCTGTTTGACCACCTTCTGTGACAGCACTCTCTGTCATCAAATGGCACAGCATTAGGTGTTCAGAAAAAAATTGAGCTCCAGAGCCAGCCTGTCTGGGTGTTAACTCCAGTATCTGCTGTGGCCTCGGCACTAACTCTGTTTCCTAAGACAATGGTGATAAAATTAGAACATCTTCATAGGACTATTAAGATTGTGTTTAAAGCACTTAGAGTATGGCACATAAAGTGTTCTGTAAATCTTTGCTATTATTATTAGCTGCTATCTTATAGTTCATATCATCTAATTTTTAAAAATGTTTTTAAAGATTTATTGTAGTAACAGTCTTAAATAGTGCTAATGTAAAACAATGATTGTTCTGGTCTGTTCTAAACCTAAATCCAACTGTTTTAAACCATTTTTATCAGGCTCTTTTTCCTACTTTTTAACCTTTAAATCATTGTTTTTGTGGCATCTGTATACTGCTCATCTTTTATGCCTGTGTTATATCTCATTGTTTTCTTAAGCATTTCCTGATGTTTGAGCATGTAGATTATTCCCAGTTTTTTGTCATTCTGGTTGGACGTGCTTCACAAGCTTTTTCCTATGAGTTAATTACTTGGGATTTCTCAGAAAAGTGAAGTTTTTGAGTAAGATTTTATTTTTATACCTTTTATTATAAATTTCTCCAAATGTTCTCTAAAATGTTTCTGTAATCTATTATAACCGTATCAACCATTATAAGTGCTAACATAAGAAATTTAAGGATGTATGCATGATTTAAATGCCTCTTTTTAAACTTTTGAATATAAATTATAATGTACCAAAAAATTTAATAAACCAAAAAAAATATTGCAAGGGGGCATGAAGTTTAACATTTTCTAACAGATATAAACTATTGTAATTTTAAAAACTGACTTGGAAGTATGTTAAGCCATAGACCTAGTTAATCCCAAATTAAAGCAATCTGTTAACTTTTTGATGTAGTACCTATAATTTAGTTGCTGAGGAAAATAACCTGTTAAGAATAGTTGTTAAATAAACAAGATTGATGATTTCTTTTCAGTGTAGCACTATTCCCCTTTCATATTTAAAAGCACATTTAAAGAACATTTTATAGTACAATTATAACTATTATAAATGTCAATGTGAGAAATTTAAGAATTCATTCATAATGATCCAAATGCCCTTTTTTTTTGCATTTTTGAATTAGAACATAGAAAATTTTATACTGTCCACTGCACTGGTTACTTGAGAAGCTGGCCTCCAAATATTATTGGAATGGAAGAAGAAAGGGACAATAAGAAAGAAAACAGTAATTTTACCTGCCTTGTTGCCATTGGAAGATTACACCCATATATTGTCCCACAGAACAGTGGAGAGATTAAAGTAAAACCAGCTGAATTTATAACCCGGTTTGCAATGAACGGAAAATTTGTCTATGTAGATCAAAGGTAAACATTTACGTGTCATAATGATTAGAGTTCAGTGGGATATTTGAGGTTATTAAAGACGTGGCTTAGTAGCATTGCTGGATTTTTTTAAGGCTTCAGAACCGGAAATACAGTTTAAATGAAATAAGGATTGGGTTGTCAGTAAATTTGTTCAAGCCAAAGTATAAACTTGGAATATTTCTTAGCCTGGGCAGGGTCTATGGCCACAGTTTTACTGGCGAATGCTCATAGCAACACACCCCGGGTTGGGTGGGTGGCTTCATGCCTGGGTATCCAGCGTTGCAGATCTAGTCTGGGTCTAGGGCAGCCACGGGGAGCCCAGCCATGCACATGGGTTACTCATCCCCCACTCCACTTCCCTGCTGTCCTGAGCATGCACCGACTGGCAGTATTCTGGGAAGGAGTACACCCACCAATTCTGAAGTTTATTTTCATTTTTCAAAATAGGGCAACAGCAATTTTGGGATATCTGCCCCAGGAACTTTTGGGAACTTCTTGTTATGAATATTTTCATCAAGATGACCATAATAATTTGACTGACAAGCACAAAGCAGGTAGGTATGCATTGAATGGTATAATTTTGGGGTCACTTTTAATTATGCTTTCAACTCTTTAATTTCCCATTCTTGTGAAATCTGAAACCTGAATTAATCCTCACAACATTGATTTTTGTTGGTGGCAGACTGTTATACTGATAATTATCTTTTCTTGTTAAGTCCTACAGAGCAAGGAGAAAATATTTATAGATTCATACAAATTCAGAGCAAAAGATGGCTCTTTTGTAACTTTAAAAAGCCAGTGGTTTAGTTTCACAAATCCTTGGACCAAGGAACTGGAATATATTGTGTCTGTCAACACTTTAGTTTTGTAAGTAATTTTTATGTTAAGACCTTTATATTAATTTCAAATGAGTACTTTGCTTTTCTCATCTTGTTAAACCATTAAAACTGTATGATCCTCTGGCCTTTTATTACAACTTGAGATATCTTTTGAGAAACTCATTTACTGTTCATTGCCATTAGTTTTCAGAATTAAGCTAAAAGTTTGCCCTTTTGTAATATATTCCTTCTTACTAGGTATAATATATGATAGTGAAGGCATTTATTCAAGCATTTCCTTCCTACCCCCCCATGGCTACCCAATAAACGATGTGGATGTGGCTTTGGACTGTATATCATTGTAAGATAATTGTTTCATCCCCCATCCCTTTTTTTTTTTTTTTTTTCCCCTAGAGAGAGGGACTGGCTCTGTTGCCAGGGCCAGAGTGCAGCCATCACTCACTGCAACCTCAAACTCCCGGGCTCAAGCGATCCTTCTGCCCCAGCCTCCAGAGTAGCTGGGACTACAGGCGCATGCCACCATGCCTGACTAATTTATTTTTGTAGAGACGAGGTCTCACCATTGCCCAGGCTGGTATCAAACTCCTGGCTTCAAGCATTCCTCCCGCTTCAGCCTCCCAAAGTGCTAGGATTACAGTCATGAACCACCTCACCCACTGGGCCCCCCACCCCCTGCCCCATCATTTTTATGTGTACTTCTAAGCCTGGGATGCCACACGTGACTGTGTAAGGCGTTCCCAGCATGGGTCTGCTTGGCCGAAGGGTGAGTGGAAATCCAGCCTGAGTGTGAGTTGGCAAGCCTTGCCTACAGCTGTGTCAGCCTCTGAAGGAAGAGCCAGCTTTTCCTGATTTGTGCAAAAGGCTAGCATGGCCGTGTTCTAAGTTTTATTATTTTTCTATAAGGTCCTCTTTTAAATTGCTATTTCATCAAACCAATTCTGTTTCCTTATCAATAATATTGAGTAAAAAAAAAACCGAAAAATGTTTAGTAATGTCAGGATTCCTTGTCATCCATCCCAATAATCCTTGCCTTCTTACCATTCGTGAACTGATAATTTGTTATTGTGAGAACACAAATGCCCTGCTACTTAGCACATCAGTGCTTTGATCCCTGGTTGGGATATTAAAGATATGTTTGTAATAAAACAAATGGGCCAAGAATGGACAAATTAAACATACAGAGAGAGTATTTAATATAATTCAGTAACTTTTTTTTAAATAACACAATAAAAAAAGTTAGGCAGTAGACATGTAGTTGCTTTAACAATTTCCTTCACCTTAGAAAATAAATCACCTATGGTGTTTTTTAATTCTAGGAGGCACAGTGAGACTCGAGAAGCATCATTTTTCCCCTGTAGCTCTCACTCACCAGAAGGTATGCTTAGTTTTAGATGATAAAAGACTGATTACTAAGACATATTATTAAGACTATTACTATCTTTTTTGTCTTGGGAAGTGAAAAATTTCAAGGTGAAATCGAAAAGAGCTTTGTGGGTTGGGTTATAAGAATCCCAATGTTGGTTTAGAAGTAAGAGGCTAAGTTCAAAGGGAAACAGCCCATTTGAAACTCACAGGGGTACCAACACTTTGCTCACACTTCTGTTATAATCTTCCATTGTACTGTAATTAGTTGTTCACTCAACTGGCTTTCCACTGGTCTGAGTTGTTGAAGAGCAGGCGAGTGGTGTTACATCCATTATTTACCCCCAGCAGCCAGCACTGTTCCTTGTCCGTTGTGGCATACACTAAATAGCTGTTGGACAAATTAAAAGTATTAAGGGAGGGAGTTTTCTTATCTGTGTTAGTTTTTCACCACAGGAATATATTAATGTATTATGTAAATAAAAATATTAGGAAATATTAAAAATAAAATAATACTGCTCTGGCTTTGGTGTGGAGATAAAGTGGGAACAGACTGTACTCAAAGGTTACTTACAGATCACAGTGGTGACATCCTACACATGATTCAGATCACTTTTCATAAGTATCTTAGAGCATCATGAGTTATGTTTGTAATGCAAGGATGAATATTTTCTAACATTTTAAGATGCAGCTAGTCTATTTCTTGTAAGGAAAGGACTAGAAAATTGTTTGAATTGAAAGAAAAATATTAACCAAAGTTATATACTTTAATTGAATTTTTCCTTTTGTTATTACTTAGAATCCTCCAAACAGTCATGTACTAGTGTGCCTGGAATGTCTACTGGAACTGTACTTGGTGCTGGTAGTATCGGAACAGATATTGCGAATGAAGTTCTGGATTTACAAAGGTAATGTTTTATTGCTGCAAATATTTTCACAAGTAAAATTATTATCATATTTATAAAACTGATATACAGAAATCAGTAGTTTTCTTACATGCAGGCAATAACCAGATTAATAATATAATGGAAAAGATGATTACCTTTGGGGTAGCAATAAAAAAAGTAAAATATTTAAGATACAAATTTTACAAGAAGAAAAAAAGAAACCTTTAAAATTTGCAAAGGTACATAAGATAACTTGAATAACTTCTTTCCTGACATAAGCTGTTTTTCATTGGGAATACTCAGTATTGTAAGAATGTCATTCCTTAAACTAACCTATTCAATGTGAATCTAGTCAAGATACCACCATGCATGTGTTTTTGGGATCCAACAAATTATACTAATCAGATTAAAATATCCTTAAAACTTCTGAAAAATAAAAGTAATAAAGTGAGACTAACCCTATGAAATATTAAAATAAGTTACAAAGCTATAGTCAAACATTTTGGTACAACCCACAAGTAGATCAGTGTAAAAGATTAGATTTCAGAAATAGACTCAAATGCATGTGGAGATTTATTATATGGTAAAAGTGGAATTTTAAATCAGTAGTGGAAATAAATTAAACATTAAAGGGCATTATAATAACCCTTTGAGGAAAAAAATAAAGCCAGACCCTAACTTTATTATTTACACTTAATTAAATTCCAGATATGTCAAAGACGTCAAAGTAAAACTGTAAAAGTATTTCAAAAACACATGTATGGATTTTTATAATTTCAGTTTGAAAAGTTCTTCTAAACATCACACAGAATCCAGAATTCATTAAGAAACAAATTTGATAAATTTAATTATATAAAAATCCAAAACTTAAGCGTAATTGTTATAACAAAGTTAAAAGATAAGTTGGGCGCAGTAGCATATACCTGTAATCCCAGTGATGTGGGAGGATCACTTGAGCCCAGAAGTTGAAGGCTGCAGTGCGCTATGATTATGGCACTGCACTGCAGCCTGGGTGACAGAGTGAGACCCTATCTCTAAAAAGAAAACAGAGTGAAAAGATAAATTATAAACTGTGGAAAATGTATACATTTCATATGATAAAACAGACTATCTTAATATATGAAGAGTTTTATAGTATAAAGAATAAAGTTATTAAACTATATATATTAAACTTTATATACCTTTATACATACTAAACTATATGTATAGTGTAAAGAATACTTTTTAAAGTAACTCAATAAAAATAAGTTAGACAGTGGACATGAACAGAAAAATACAAATGGGCAAGAGACTTTAAAAATTGCTCAGCTCTATTCAGAGTTAAAATATTAATATAGATATACACAAATTTAGGAAATAAGATACCTTTTTTACTTAGAAGATTATCAAAGATTTGAAAGTTTGATAATACTCAGTATCAGTGAGAATATGATAACACAGGCACTCAAAAACTGTGGAAGTTTAAATTAGTGCAGGGCAGTTAGATCATACCTATCAAAAATGTAAGTATATATAATCTTGGACTCAGCCATTCTACTGCAGGAGCAAAATTCTTACACAACTGTGCAAAGATGTATGAACAGGACTGTTCATTGCTGCATAGTTTACAGTGTGATTTCAATGTATAAACATTTGTCATAACCATAACTTGTATGCTGTATCCATACAGTGGAGTATACTGCAACTATTCAAAATGAGGTAGCAGTGGAGGCTGTGGCTCACATCTGTAATCCTAGCACTTTGGGAGGCCAGTGTGGGAGGATCGCATGAGGCCAGGAGTTCAAGACTAGCCTGAGCAAGGGTGAGACCCTGTCTCTACAGAAAAAAGTAGACAAATTAGCCAGGCATTGTGGCACACTTCTGTAGTCCCAGCTACTTGGGAGGCTGAGGCAGGAGGATCACTTGAGCCCAGGAATTTCAGGTTGTAGTGAGCTGTGATGGCACTACTGCACTCCAGCCTGGGTGACAGAGCAAGATTCTGTCTCGAGAAAAAAAAATGAGATAGCTGTATTTATGTTAACATGGAAAGATCTGTAAAATATAAAATAGAAAAAAACACAGGAATAGAAGAAAATAATATGTGTAATAACCCACTTGTATAGGGAAAAAGAAAGATGTGTTTATGTGTGGATATGTGTGTACACAGGCCCATCTAAAACCCTTAGGACCACTATGTTTTGAACTCAGAATTTCTTTGAACTTTAGAAAAATAGTGTTTTGGAATTAAGTTTTATGAAGAGATATGTGTAGCATTCCCAGAGAACAGTTACATCATGGGCAGCATGCCAAAATCAGTTGCATCAGTATTTTTGCAATGAGTGGTATTTACCAATTAAATGGTAAAATATCTAAGATATGCTTCCAAATGATCAGTGGGGGAAGGAAGGAGGTAAGATTTGGGAAGTACATACATTAAACAAGATTGGAAAAGAATAATTATTGATGCTGTTTGGTGGATGTATGAGATTTCATTTATACTATCTACTTTTCTATCTGTTTGACATTTGGCATAATAAATATTTAAATATGTTTCTGAAGTGAAGTGTATAAATATTTGTATTATACTAAACAGGATAAAGAGGGATAAATAATAGCTTCCTATCAGTTAAGGTCAGGTTTTGCTGAGTTCAGGGTAATTCAGATTTTGCTGCCAAATGAATTAGGGAAAATCTTTCAGTTTTCAGGGTGTTTTGGATTTTGGAATTGTAGAGAAGGGACCTATAACTCTACAGTATGAGATATAACAATACAAAAAATTTGTTCAGTCTACTTTTATATTTGAGACTGGATTTATTGAATACTTATGTGCTATGTACTTGAAGTTTTGGAAGTATTAATATTATAAAACATACACAAAGACATATGATCCATCGTATGCTTTGATCATAAATCTCTTCACAAGACTTAATATGTAAAACAAACTAACATATAGGACATTATTAAATGCTGAAATGCATGGTTTGTGCATTTTGGGCATCTAATTCTAGAATGACTGTCACTGCAGGATCCAACTTACCTTCCAGTTTTAAGGTTTACAACTCAGTGACCTAGGTAGTGAAAAAAAAAATATCAGTGGATCTAGAAGTGCGTTTAATCATGAGAAAATGTACATAACAAAATTTACCATTTTTACCATTTTTAAGTGTACATTTAAGTACATGCACATTGTTGTACAGCCATCACCACTATCCATCTCCAGAACTTTTTTAATCTTACGTAACTGAAACTATGAACCCATTAAACAATAACATCCCATTTCCCCCAGTCCCTTCCAACCACCATCCACCATTCTACTTTCTGTCTCTATGAATTTGACTACACTAAGTACCTCATATAGGTGGAAACGTACAGTTATTTGTCCTTTTGTGACTGGCTTATTTACCTTGAGTTTCAAGGTTTGTCCATGTTGTAGCATGTGTCAGAATTTCCTTCTGTTTAAGGCTTGATAATATTCCATTGTATGTATATACTACATTTTGTTTATTCATTTATTTATTGATAGATATCTGGGTTGCTTCCACTTTTGGGCTATCCTGCTATGAACATGGTTGTACAAATTACCTGTTTGAGTCTTTGCTTTGAGGTTTTTTTGGTGTATACTCAGAATTGCTGGGTCATCTGGTAATTCCATTTTTAATTTTTTGAGGAACTGCCATACTGTATTCCATAGTAGCTTTCCCATTTTACATTCCTACCAATAGTGCATAAGAGTTTCAGTTTCTCCACATCCTCATCAATACTTGTTCTTTTGTTTTGTTTTCTTTTTGATAATGGCCATTTAATGGTTATAAAGTGGTATCTCATTGTGGTTTTGATTTGCATTTCCCTAGTGATTAGTGATGTTGAGTATCTTTTCATGTGCTTATTGGCCATTTGTGATTCTTCTTTGGAGAAATATAAGTACACATTCAAGTCCATTGCCCATTTTATAAATCAGGTTGGTTGTTTTGTTGTTGCTGAGTTGGGAGTTCTTTAAATATTCTGGATATTAACCACTTACCAGATATGTGATTGGCAAATATTCTTTCCCAGTCCATGGGTTGACTTTTCACTCTGTTGATGGTATCCGTTTGATGCACAAAAGTTTTTAATTTTGAGGTAATATACTTTATCTGTTTTTTCTTTTTTTGCCTGTGCTTTTGGTTTCATTCCAAGAAATCATTGCCAAATGTAATGTCATAAAGCTATTCCACTGTGTTTTCTTTTAGGGGTTTTATAGTTTTAATCTTAGTTTTTGATCTATTTTGTGTTAATTTTTATATATGGTATAAGGTAAGAGTCCAACTTCATTCTTTTACATGTGTATGTCCAGTTCTCCCACAGCATTTGTTGAAAGGATTATCCTTTCCCCCTCAAGTGTTCTTGACACGCTTGTTGAAAATCATTTGACCCTATGCGCTGCAAGGACATTTTAAGACAAGTGTAAGTGGAGCCAAACATTGCCAGCTGGGTATCCTGGGAATGTTCAGGATACAGTAGAGAGGGCATTTATATATGGAGGCACCTCAGCTGATGTATGGAGGTGGTTGGAAGAAATCATGGTGGTTTCAGAAAACAAGGAGACTCAATATAAAGAGGAGTTGAATTGGTGAGTAGTGGGGAGTCTTAACTAAATTAGAGTCAAAATACCAGGTTTCTGCCTAAAGGACTAATATGAAGGAAGCCATGATTCAGAAGATTAATCTGGTAGTAAAGTTTTCATCATCAATTTAAGGATAGGTGAGCAGATAGTAATTTTAAAAACAGAAACCAAGAGTGATGTTAGTAAGATGTCAGAATAGGACTTCCAGAGTAAAGAAAGACTACAGGGAACCATCAAGCAACCAATATACACATTATGGGAGCCCCAGAAGAAATAGACAAAGACTAAGAGGCAGAAAGCTTATTTGAAGAAATAATGACAAAATTCCCAAATCCACAGAGGGAAATGTTCATTGAGCCCAGGCGTTCCAGATCCAAGAGACCCAAAGGACCCCAGATAGATCGAATATAAAAAGATCTTCACCAAGACACATTATTAT